TGTTGTTGCTTCTCTGTCCAAAGGGCTCCCTTTAGCATCTCTTGTAAGGTTGGTCTAGTTTTAACAAATTCCCTTAATTTCTGCTTATCTGGAAATGTCCTAATTCCATCATCATATTTGAGGGACAGTTTTGTTGGGTACATAATTCTTGGTTGGAAATTTTTCTCTTTCAGTGTTTTATATATACCATCCCTTGTCTTCTCACCTGCGTGGTTTCTGTCGAGAAATCTGAACTTAGTCTTATTGGTTGCCCCTTGTAGGTAACTTTTCATTTTCCCATGCTGCTCTCATGATTCTTTCTTTGTCTTTGGTTTGGATAAGTTTGATGATGATATGTTTGGATGATTTTCTTTTGGGGTCTATCCTGTCTGGGGTTCGTTGGACTTCCTGAATGGATATATTCTCATCTTTCATCATACCAGGAAAGTTCTCTTCAAACAAATCTTCAGCAATTTTCTCTGTTCTTTTATTTGTCTCTTCCTGTTCTAGAATTCTGATTACATGTAGGTTATTCCTTTTGATGGTATCCCACATGAACCTTAGGCTTTCTTCATTTTGTTTTGATCTTTCTTCTGATTTATCTCTTTCCAAAGAAGCATTCAGGTATTTACCTTCAATCTCCCTAATTCTGTCTTCCATTGATTCAATTCTGCTTCTTTGCCCATTCAATGTCTTATCTATTTCTGAAAATTTAATATTAATCTTCTGGATTTCTGTGTGCTATCATTTCTAATTTTTCATTTATTTTATCATTTTGTTCTTGTATTGTCTTTCAAAATTGTTCTTGGGTTTTCTCTGTGTTTTCCTTGATTTGTCTCTCAATTTGTTGAAGATACCTAAATATAATCTTTTTAATTCCTTATCAGGGAGTTCCAATGCATCATCTTCTTCAGGGATGTGTTTTGGGTCTGTATCCTGGTCCCTTGTTTCTCCTGCTTTATTTTGCTGCTTTGTGTGGACTGTGATGCTCTGTTGTCTCTGAGGCATTATGATATTTTTGTGTTCATATTTAATTGGTGATTGTATGTTGGAGTGACTTGCCCACAATTTTCATTTTCTTTGTTTTGTTTGCATTTTATCTACACAAGCAGGGTACTGTGCTGTGCTCCTCTATTCACTAATTGACAGCATTTATACACTCACCACCTGTCTCCTTTCCTGTTGTCAGCCTCTCATATGTCTCTGCCCACCTTGGCAAACAGAGCCTATTCTTAGGTCCCTGGAATCCGAATGAGAATGCTATCACTTTAAAATCCAAAATGATTGCCACTTGTAAAGATTCAAAATGGCTGTGCCCTTGGTCACTTTAAATATCCAAAATGGGTGCCATGTGTAAACAATCAAAATGGCTGAACCCTCCAGAGAGTGGAAAGTCCACACAGCTCAGGTTGTCTCCCTCCTTGCTGTTTCCCTTCCTAGTCATAGTCCACCAGCGCTGTCGTCCCTGCAGCCCTTGGTGACCAGGGCTGATCTTTAAGTCAATTTTCAGGTCCCAACACCACTTGGAAACGTTCAGGCTGTTGGTCCCATCAGAATAGCTGACAGTCCACAGTTCCGACTGTCTCTGTACTCGCTGTTTTTGTTCAGGTTTTTTCACTAGTTGGTGCCTAAACCACTTCTGTATAGTTCCTTTCAAAGCTCAGGCTTCAGGATTATCTTCTGTATCTCTGTCAATTGGTTTTTCTTTTCTTTGTTGAAGAGGGTCTGTGTTGCTTGTCTGCCTAATCCTCCATCTTACTGGAAGTCTTACTTACTGTTTTTATTATTGTCCCCCAGCTGCAGTGTGAGTTCTTCAAGGTCAGAAATCTTTCTTTCTTTGTTGATCTAGCCCAAGCTCCTAGGATAGTGCTTGGCATATTAAGTAAGCACTCAGTAAATATCCACTGAACAAACATCTTGGCCATCCATCTCTGTTGTAGTCGACAGCAAAGAAACATGGTCTTGGATCCCTGTACTTCAGAGCTGACACTCAGCACATCCCCTGGCCATGTCATTGGTCAAGAAGGGGCTCTTCCAGCCCAAATTTCTGCCCACTCAGAGCTCTTGGCTTTGGGGGCTGAAGCCAGAGCAAGCCAAGGGTAACACCTCTCTCTTGGAGGTGGCTGGACACTTTGGAATGCCAGGAGTCTGGTGAGGGGCTGCAGCAGCTGTAAAGGGTTCTCTTTCCAGTTCTTTCCTTCTCTTGGGCCTTGAAAAAGCCCACATGAGTCTCCTTCCCAGGGGCTGTGGGTTTGGAAGGGGAGGGCTCAAGGGGAGTTGTCAGAGGGGGATACTCACTTGCAGGCCTCCAGCCAGACCAAATGGAAAGAGCTTTATTTTCCCAAGTCTGAAGTCACAGAAGCCCTTCTGTTGATTTTTGAGGAGAGCTGGTGGTGGGGAGAAAGACTTGTATCTCAGGTCTCAAAAAAAAAAAAAAAACAAAAAACCAAACTCACTGCTGTCAAGTTGATTCCATTCATGGCGACCCTTCCTTGGGTTTCCAAGGTGGTATCTCTAAGGAAGTAGATTGCCCAATCTTCCTTCCATGGAGTGGCTGGTGGGTTTGAACCACCAACCTTCTGTTTAGCAGTCAAATGCCTGAGGCACTATGCCACCAGCTGAGACCTTATCACTGCCCCTGCAGTAGATTTGTGGAGGGCCCTCTGCATCAGCTCTCTGCTGACCCAGCACATCCCTGGCCCAGCAGAGACCCCTTAGAGTGCCCAGTGGCTCTGAATCACTCCTTTCCAGCCAGAGGGAGGCGGGAGGCAGGGGAGGCGGTGGACTTTGCAGCTGCTGGATGCACCAGCTGACTTCCTTCACTTCATAGAGCCGTGACAGGTACCCTGAAAGTTGCTCAGTGCACACCCTGTGCAGCTGCAGATGGTGACCCTGGGCTAGCTTCTCTCTAGAGGGTGATATCTGCCATTTCCCCTGCAACGCGTGGTGCTTCAAGATGGGGGAAGGAGTTTGTCCTCTCCATCGGGGTCTGGCTTCTGAGGTCCCTTCTAGATTTCTTTAAAAGGGAGCAGTTCTCTAGGGCTTTGTAGAAGGTTCATGTGTACCTCCCCAACCCACACAAATATCTGAGACTCACAGAGCTCAGGGCCTGAGCAGGGCCATGACTGGCCTATAGGCTGTCTGTGTGTGAATTAGAAAAAGGCACCACCTCTGGGCTGACACAGCTTTGATCCCAACTTAGGGATCCCAACTGAGGTCATGAAGGAGGGGGGACCGGTATGTGCCTCCTGGTATAACAGAGCCTGCAAACCTCCTCTTTCTGCCATGCTCACCCAGTGCAGGTGATTGTGGGCTGGTGAGTATATTAGTTTCCTAGTGGAGGGGTCACTATGAGTCGGGTCCGACTTGACGGCAAACAACAACAACAAAGGGCTGCTGTAACAAAGTACCACAAAGGGGGTGGCTTAAACAACATACTTCTATTTTCTTACAGTCCTGAAGGCAGTAGTCTGAATTGAAGATGTCAGTAGGGCCATGCTCCTTCTGAAAACTCTGGGGGAAGAGCCTCTCTTTTTCTTGGCTTCTAGCCCTAGACATTCCTTGCCTTGAAGCTGCAGCCTAACTCTGGTGTCACATGTCCATCTTCCCCCTGTCTTTCTCTTTGTGTGTCTTCTCCTCTTTTATAGGACACTGGTCAGATTGAGTTGGGACCCACCCTATTGCAGTATCACCTCATGTTAACAGATAACATCTTCAAAGAGCCTATTTCCAAACAAGGTCATGTTCACAGGTACCAGGGGTTAGGACTTCAATATATTTTTTTGGAAGACACAATTCAATTCATAACAGAGTCTAGAATTGTGGTAACAATGATGTTTCTTTGGGTTAGGACTGTGTTCTGGTTACCTAGTGCTGCTCTAATAAGAAATATACCACAAATGGGATGGCCTTAACAAACAGGAGTTTATTCTTACAATTTGGAGGCTTTAAGTCCAAGTTCAAAGTGCCAGGCTCTAGGGGCTGGGTGAAAGCCCCTCAACCTTGGGGTCCAGCTCTGCCTCTTGCTCCTGGCCCACTGAAGCTAGAGGCATTTCTTCACTCAGACAGCTGCTGGCTGCTGAGGCTGAGAAGCCCCAAGGTTGACAAGTAAAAAGGTACAGTCCCAATGTTACCAAACCACATACGACAGGCCATTAATTTAAGTCCATTGTAAGTCCCAACAACATGGCTACACACAGGGTCCAAGCGTGCCATAGGCTAGAGACCATTCTCAAACTTCTCCTTATATACATACCCAAAGGCAGCTACTCAGCTGCTCACAGTAGATTCCACTGTGGAGTTGATTGCCAGTCTCATCATGGGGAATAACTACCACCAGCTGCCCAGCCACTCAACCAGGCCCAGCCAAGTTGACACATAAACATAACTACCACAGACTGGGTAGGACCAGGGTTGTAGTTAGGGTAGTATTCTATTTAATAGTAGGGTAGTAGTTAGGGTAAAATCAGAGTAACAACTTTAGTGTGGTATTAGGGTGAGACCATGGTAAGGGTTGGATTAGGATTACAGTTAAGGTTAGGTTAGGGTTACGCTACAGTAGAATTTAGGATTTTGAGTTTTTTCAAGTGTGGTGTGGTTGTTGTTTTAACATTTACAGAGCCTTATTGAGTAAACAGACCCTGTTGTGTGACACTTTACAGGCACCACCTAATTTAATACTAGGAGATAATGTGCCCTAAAGGAGCTCTGGTGGTATAGTGGAGAAGGCATTTGGCTGCTAACCAAAAGGTTGGTTTTTCAAACACACCAGCTTCTCTGTGGAAGAAAGATGAGGCATTCTGCTTCCTTAAAGATTTACAGCCTTGGAAACCTACTGGGGGTCATTATGAGTTGAAACCAACTCAATGACAATGAGGTTTTTTTTTTTTTTTTTTTTTTGGAGTGGTTAAGAACATGGGGCATGAGTCAGACAGACCTCAGTCAGTTCCATCTGATTCCATTGCTCACCAGCCATTTGATGTAGTGTGAGTTTCTTCACCTCCCTGAATCTTGCTGTAAATCAATAATGATGGTAATACTGCCCACACAGGATTGCGGTCAAAATAAAATAAGGGAATGTGGACAGATTACTGAACCCTATTGTGAAATATTTGATAGTAACGTTTTTCCTAATCTGTTTCAGTTTGGAGACTGCATTCAGCAGGAAACAGATGGTACATTCAATAGGGACAGTTTAGTAAAGGGTCTATTTACCAAGAGACGAGCAGGGTTAGAAGAAAGTGGCGAAAGATGGTAGAGCAACTGTTGTAGAATGAATTATGTTCCCAAAAAATATATGTTGTAAATCCAAACCCCTCTACCTGTAGAATGGAGGAAATAATGAAATAAAAGGGCAGAACAGAAGATTGCAAAGGGCGGCTCAAGAAGACAAAGTAAAGTGTTATAACGAAACGTGCAAAGACCTGGAGTTAGAAAACCAAAAAGGGAGAACACACTTGGCATTTCTCAAGCTGAAAGAACTGAAGAAAAATTCAAGCCTTGAGTTGTAATATTGAATAATTCTAAGGGCAAAAAATCGAACAACATAGGAAGCATCAAAATGAGACAGAAGGAATACACAATCACTGTACCAAAAAGCATTGATCAACATTCAGCCATTTCAGGAGGTAACATATGGTCAAGAACCGGTGGTACTGAAGGAAGAAGTCCAAGATGCACTGATGACATTGGTGAAAATAAAAATGATCCAGGAATTGAAGGAATGTTTTAACAGATGCAACACTGGAAGCACTTGCTCGTCTATGCCAAGAAATTTGGAAGAAACTTACTGGCCAATCAACTTGAAGAGATCCGTATTTTTGCCCATTCCAAAGAAAGGTGAGCCAATGGAATGCAGAAATGACTGAACAATATCATTATTATCACATATAAGTAAAATTATGGTGAAAATCATTCAAAATCAGTTGTAGCAGTACATCAACAGGGAACTTCCAGAAATTCAAACTGGAGTCAGATGAGTATGTGGAATGAGGGATAGCGTTGCTAATATCAGGTGGTTCTTGGCTGAAAGCAGAAAATATCAGAAAGATGTTTGCCTGTGTTTTATTGACTATGAAAAGGCATTTAATTGTAGGTCCTAACAAGTTATGGATAACATTATGAAGAATGGGAATTCCAGAATCCTTACTTGTGGTTATGAGGAACCTATACATACAGAAAGGCAGTCATCCAAGCAGAACACAGGGATATTGCATGGTTTAAAACCAGGGAAGATGTGTATCAGAGTTGTATCCTTTCACCATACTTATTCATTCTGTATGCTGAGCACATATTCTGAGAAGCTGGACTAGATGAAGAAGAATGTGGCATTAGGAGTGGAGGAAGACCCATTAACAATTTGCAATATACAGATAATACAACTTAGCTTGCTGAAAGCCAAGAGGACTTGAAGCACTTACTTATGAAGATCAAAGACTATAGCCTCTACATATGAGCTG